TTGTATTAAATGTATTTTTTATTTTATTGTATAATTCGGCTTTTGTTTTTGTATATGACTTACTCGTAGATATCTTCTATATAAAAAAATCGTAAAAAGTTAGAATCGAAAGATGTAAAACCAGAGCCTTGAAGGTACAAAATATTTCATGGCGATTGATAAATAAAGTGCTTTATATTGATAATAAATACATCAAGAAATAAACAATAGAACCTACAGTAAAATACAAGCTAAATGCTATATCTTTCAAGCTCAAAGTATGCCTAAGCGCGTTGTGCCCGCGGTCTCTCACAATAACAAAGACGTTCAAGAAATTTCGTGACTTTGGATTATCACTTATTTCTTCCTTATTTCTTCCTTTATTCTTCTCTTAGCTCCTCGGAAATAAAGGAAGGAAGGAATAACTAGTGGGGAAAGCTCGTTAAGTGAGGTCTGTGGTGGGAATTAAGAGAGAAGCATCGTCAAAATACAAGAGGAGGGAATCCCCTAAAGCAACATGGTGAGATTATTTTTGAAAATGTTTTACGTTTTCATGTTTATGATAATTTGCTGGAATAGATAGGGGTATCAGTTGAAATTCTGTGGTTTATTTGATTATTTTTTATGCTTCTTACTTTGAAAATGACGATATTTTTTCCTAAATACCGTGGGGTTGAATTGAAGCCTTGGTGCCGGCTGCCGGTCGAGTTCATTCATCGATCATGCATCTAAATTGTGTTAATTTTGTAGTTATCATAGGTAGGAATGAACTACTAACGATGTATATATTATCCAGGTAAATGTATTGGGGAAGCCTCATGTGTACTGATTACAAAGATTCACAAATTCAAATTCACAAGAGTTGATAACTCTACTAATTTGATACGACTCAAAACTAATCTGGGATTTCAAGTGAGTTCCCTTTCTATTAACGTTAATTCTAGGGGCGTTAGAGATGGGAATTTCAAACAGCTTGTGAATTAGAGTGGCTTGGCATCAGGTGGTGATTTAACCTCCTTACCTGTTGATTGTCAGTAAAGAGCAACTTGCCTTTGTCACGTATAGGTATATTCAGGCAAAGTACTAGTATGTTGGCCTTTGGAATGACACTCATAATACTTGCCATTGGTGTGTGCTTTCATTCTCTGTTTATCATTCCATCATTAGGAATCAGAATGAAATTTTTATTAGACTACATGGAATGCTTCCAATATTATCTGTCATCCAAGTATATGTTCCACTTTTGGAAGCTGAATGATAGTGATGTCTTAGAATAAAGGTGTTATTATCTACCATCCAAGAGTCAGATTGAAATTATTTTCAGTTTGTATGGTGTTGTTATGTAATCAGAATTTGGTTATTTCAGTTCATGATGTTATAAATTTTGGATGTATCTGAATGCATACAATTTTCTGTTTTGAGAAATGAAACAATTTCACAGGTTGTTTTTTTGTATTGTTGGTTGGTTCATTTACCAACTTATGTGATTATTTTGTCTTTCCATGTCAGTGCCTTAGCTTGAATATTACACATACCTTTTGCACCATCTAAACCTGTGTTTGCTTTATCCAACAGGCTCGAAATGCAGAAAAGGCAATGTGAGTATATATATGTTCTTGAGTATTTTGTGATCAAAAGTACTGAAGTAAATACAGTAGCTTTTACATCTTCATTTTCTTGAAAGTTTTTGTACTGGTTTAGATTGATAATAATTATCCTTTTGTCAAATATAATATAATAGAAAGTAGACAAAAAACAAAAGCAGGAATATATTAACAAGTATTTTACAAATCTGAATGTATTTTTCAGGACAACACTGGCCAGATGGCGAGCAGCCCAGGAAGGAGGCGGACAACAGCAGAAGTCGCGGAGGCCATATCTCGCCTCCGAATGCGAGGATTTACGGGAAGCCGAAAAGTGGAGAAATCAAGTGATATCAGAGGTTGCTCGAAAAGTTTCTCAGATACAGAACGGTGAGATCCTTTCAAGGTTTTATCGGTGGATCTCTGTGAGTGTTTTAGTCTATGTGCTGTGAAAATAAAAACTTAATGGCTAATTTCAAATTTTTATTCAATGTATTGGTAGGGCTGTGGTCTAAAGAAATGGGTATACAAAATACTTAGCTTGTACAAAACAAGTAGAAGCTTTGAACTGATTCGTCTGTACTACTTGCAGCTGTATAGAAATAAAACTAGGCTATACTCTCTCTCTCTCTCTCTCTCTCTCTCTCTCTCTCTCTCTCTCTCTCTCTCTCTCTCTCTCTCTCTCTCTCTCTCTCTCTCTCTCTCTCTCTCTCTCTCTCTCTCTCTCTCTCAACAAACAGATTATTTTGACATTCATATATTTTTTTTAAATAATGTAAATGGAATTAAATAATTCCAGAAGACAAGATTTGGAATTAACTTTTATCATTTCCATCCTTGATAAATTGATGGAGATATAGACTAATGAATAAATGTTGCCTCAACAGCTGGCTTGGGAGAGTTCAGAATCAGGGACCTGAATGATGAAATCAACAAACTGCTGCGTGAAAAGGGCCATTGGGAGGTTAGAATCAAGGAACTCGGTGGGCCAGACTACGCTCGTGTTGGCCCAAAAATGACCGACATGGATGGACAGGAAGCTCCAGGGAACAGGTGAGGATTGAGTCATGATTAGGTAATAATTAGATGAAGATTGGGTTACGATTAGGGAAATATTGTTACAGAAATGGACCTACAAACAAAAACCAGAGACACCTACATATTACTTTCCCGTAGTTTCAGTATAGACTTTGTTCCTAAAATGTGTAAATAGATGAATAGATAAACACTTTGAGTATGAATATAAATATTTCTACTGCTTTACGATAAAATTAGTTCCTCATATAAACAAATATATGAATAAAGATTCTTCCTCAATAAGATAACTAGTTTGTCTTGTGCCATGCCGATGTTAAATACAGTCCACCTTCCAGAGGGTATATGTATTTTGGAGCCGCCAAAGACCTCCCAGGAGTGAGAGAGCTGTTCGAACAGGAACCTCCAGCTCCTCCTCGCAAGACCAGAGGAGAGCTGATGAAAGATATTGATGCAGATTACTACGGTTACAGAGATGACGATGACGGTGTTCTCATACCACTGGAGAAGAAAGCGGAGAGAAAAGGTACAAGTTTTATTAATCTTTAAAAATTCCTTATTTGCAAAATTGGTTGAAGTGCTCTTTTTCTTCATTCTTATGGATTATTTTCCTCTTACTTTTCATGACCTTTTTGAGTCCTTCCTTTTTTTTAATGTATACACTGTGCAAAACTTGTTGAACTATAAGTATTTTAGAATTTAGGATTTGAAAATTTCTTGATTGGTATTTATTGTTTTAGCTGTCCTTCAGTCTGTTCATTGATTGCTTCTTCTTCTCTCACTTTTCCTTCTTCTTTCACTTCTTATTTTTCCATTTCTTCTTCCACTTCTTTCACTTATTCTTCTTTCACTTCTTATTTTTCCATTTCTTCTTCCACTTCTTTCTCTTTTTTTTCTGCTTTATTTTAGTAATCCTATTTTAATCTGTTATTTTTGTTATCTTTTACCCTAGCCATTAAAACAGCTGTCAAGCAATACACGGAAAAGAAACTGTCAGCGTTGACGGACAATGGGGAAGACGAGGAAATTAATGAAGAGGAACATCAAGAGGAGGAAAGTGAGGAAGAATCAGATCACGAAGACGAACAAGTAAGTTTGCTGGATCAGGCTTTTTCCTCAGCTTTGCCTATTAGGTTGATTTTTAAAGAACATTTTTCTTTTTCTTCTTATATATTTGTTAATTTTTAAACTTTGGCACTGGACAAGGGAAGTACCCCATGTATGCAACTTTATTTTATGGTCATCTCTCTGATATGGAAAAAATGGCTATGTTTGACATATTCAAGAATAGTAAATAGGTCCCTGGAAAGATCCAGAAGCATCCACCTAATAACTTGTTTTGACCCCCAGAAGTCTCTCGATTGTCAATATAAATTGCCTGGCAGATTTAATCCCGGTATAAATTCAGACCTTAATCATCCAGAATGAATTTATATTATCGTATAGTTTGTTGTAGTTGTGCATCGTTCCAAAGAAGTCGATAGTCCACTTGCCACAACTGCTCTAGGCCGTAGGTCTTTCCAAGCAGTACCAACCAATCCCCACAATCTGTTTCTGACGAATTAGTGAGCATCCAATATTGACTGTATACTAGGGAGCTGACTCTGTCTTGGGATGCAAACTTAACTTAACTTGATGAAGGCCAAATATTAGGTGTTACTTTTGTTTTTATTTTGGGATTTGAAATAGTGCTTACACAACTAGCCATAGGAGAATGATGTTGTTGATCCAAATTTATTCCAGTACTGGCTATACACATGCCTACTTTCCTATTTCCCAACAGATGTCTTTAGATGAAACAGACGAGAGATCAGAGGTTCAGCGGTTCATGGCTCACGTGCCCAACATCCCAACGCAAGCAGACATCGAAGCGGCACTCGTCGAGAGAAAGAAACGGGAGTTACTACAGACTTTCTTGGGTGACTGAGATCTAAGGGGGGGAGTGCAATGTTAACCAGCATTTCAAACATTAGTACAACTGTTGTGAAAAAAGTAAGCAAGACATTCAGTTCAGTAAGCTGATATTACTGTGTGTGTCGGGGTAAAAAAAAATGGTTATGTATTGTTTTATTCTTAGTTTGATTAATTTATGGCACTGATTGTGCTGTGTGTGTATATACGGAATTTTTCTTTTTCTTTTTCTTTTTCTTTCTTTTTTACTTAGGCAGTACTTAAAGAGGTAGAAAAGCTCAATAATGAAGATTGTACTCCATAAGTTTTTTAGTATTGTTCACATTTAATATTGGCATTTGCATATGCTGTTTGCAGAAACATTTGAGAGATAAAATAACCAAGATTATATATTTCCAAGAAAATTAAATGACTGAAATGTACAGAATATTTCTGGTATCCCTTCATTAATCACAACTGAATATTGTCTTTGATTTACTCACATACATGACT